TCAGTTTAGACACTTAGATATGGTGAATCAAATTCAACAATTCAGATGGAAAGCACCTGTCTCTCTTGCCTAGGAGGTTCCAGCATGTCAGATGTAGCATCTTGTGTTTTCTTTCTTGAGAAGACATGGCAGAACTGGTATTTAAGAATTCTAGGAGACACTTGAATGAAAACGTGGCCCGGGTCGTAGGGAAAGATGTGGCCAGCAAACCCTGTGCTCTCTTGCTTTCCACCTGACCCTGATTTTTGCACCTGATGAACTGGCCCCTCAGTTTGCTACTGTTTATACAGGTTACCAACTTGATTCATGAGTCCTGTTTACCCCCATTGATTTAAGAAATGCAGTCAAGTGTGTTCACTGCCTCTGTACTAGTTCTCGTTGCCTAATTTTTCTTTTAGTGCTACAGAGAAAGTATACAGTACAATGAGAAGTACCTGCACAATGCAAGTCATGGGTATGTGAATTAAGGAAGGAACTCTTAAAATAATTCCTGAGTCAATGTGTTTTTTGTTTTTACTGCTCCACCAACACTTAGGTCAACTCATTCACCTTTTTTTGCAAGAAAATATCCATGATCATGCTACGAGTTGTTAAGCTCTTAAAGAAATGGGACTCAATTACCTGCAGGAGTTATGTGCATGATTATAAAATATCCTTGCCTCTGTTGGTTACTCTTTGAGGATTTCTTGATTGGTCTCTTATTAAAAAGAGCTGAATCTGCTGTGCTGCTAGGGGAGGTGGAAACCCAAGCTATTACGTGTCATAGGAATAATTGTGTCATTTTGGTAATTCCAATGAACTTCATCTCATTCTCTTAACTTCATCATTCATTTGCATACTTACATCACTTGAGAGAGCTGTGTGGTGTGTGTGTGTAAAACAAAGGAAGCCTGTGAAACTGGAAGTTGCTTGTTTGAAGTCTGGGGTCAGAGGGTGGTAAGATCAAGGTGTTGCTGTCAAGGAATAGATCTGTCTCGGGTTCTTTTTGGAAGGATATATGGATATGCAGTAAACACACTCTTTTTGGTAATGATAACACCCCAAGATCCATTTGAATTAAGCCAGCCATTGAGATGGAATAGAACTATGCCAGTCAACTTGTTTCTGTCAAGTGGAATCTTCCTCCATTTTGTACTTATTAATGTGAACATCATTTACTACTGGCCTTTTCTGAATTCAGAAATGCATCCTATTTGAAGATGGAAAACAATGTTATAATTATAGGAAGGCCAGCAAGGGCTCCGGCCTGCTTTACGTTTGTGTGACTGCCACCTTAACAAAAAAACAACAAACATTATTCTCTTAGCTAATTTTTTTTAGAAGGCTATATGAGTAGGACATGATCTGGCTAAACTTGGTGGGAGACAGTCAATGAGGTCCTGGATTTTATTAAGGGTCCCCATTAGCTTTCTCCTTTCCCCCCAATTTGAGCAGTGATGGGAAACATTCCTAATGTGCCTTATGGATGTTGACAACTCTTGACCTGCAGGAACAATACACAAATCTTTCCCTTTAGGCTTTAGATTGCCCAGAGTTAAAAGTGCTTAAGATTCATCTTTTAAGAAGGACTTTTGGATTTGCATAGCAAAAAAACAAACAAACCCAAAGTGGACCAATATTTTCAAAATAAGCAACATTAGTGGTGGTGGTGTTTATGTACTGCTTTTTGAAATAGAGCCCCCCCCCCGGGGGGGGGCATTTTATACAACAAAATACACAGTCAAGTGCAATTTTAAAAATCACTGCACTTTGGCTTTTGGCTGGACTAGAAGGGGCTACCAACCCCCAACCCCCAGTACACATAAATATGAGCACCAGGAATGAACGAAGATTTGCACATTTTTGTTATGTTAACATTCAGCTTCCAGCATTTAATTTGCAGCAAATAAAAGTTTGGTACAATGCCTTTATTTTATTCCCCGCACCTTTTGGTGTGTGTTACGTTTGAAAGGAATAGGATATTCTGTAGCTCAACAGCAGCTGCATAAAAATGTCCTTTTTAGACATGGGCCAATTTGATGCCTTTGAGATTCCAAACAGAACTACTTATATTTGAATCCCTGTTACCGGAATTTCATTTATATATCCCTCATGTCACCTGTTGGTTGAACCATTCAGATAAATGAGGCATCATATAATGGCCAGCTATGCTTGTAGTGACACAGGGACTTCAAATGACATTGGCCACCTCATGAGGAAATACAGCTCACTTGCATTGATGCGCAACAATGCTGGTTCCTACTTGTCAACTGAGAAAGAGAAGCAAGATCAACATCCTCCGCACGATGCATTTCTGAGGCCTTGCTCACATACGGACACAGTGGTGGTGGTAAAATTATTCCTGGACAACTTTAGATAGGCAATTATATGGTTGAATGAAAAATTCCCTGCCCCTATGCCAGCTTTCTGTTAGGCAAAGGCTGTGCTACTTGGTAGTATTTAGTTTTTGTGTGTGCTGAGGGACCATTCAGAGCCCTTCCACTCCTGGGTAACCTGAACTGGTGTAATCCAGAAAGAATTTTAATATTTCATCCGCTGTTTGGGGAAACTTTAGTCTGTGGCCTTGCCACAACTAATAACCATCATCATTGACCATGTTTCTTCTTGTTCTATTATTATTATTATTCTTTTTTTTCTCCCTTGTTTGTAAACAAAGATGAGGAAAAAGGAGCGTTCTCGGACCTGCCCCAAAAAAGTGATCATGCTCTCTTCTTCCTCCATTTGCACTTCCTCTCCATCGTACCCCAGTCAGCAGGTGATTTCATTCTGCATGCTCTGTCCTCCTTTCCCTCTCTTCCTGCTTCCACAACTAGGCCACGTACCCCTTCTGTTTTGAGTTTTCTCCTAAAACTGAATAGTGTCAGCAGACCTCTTGATCTTCCCCTCCCCAAAACCAGTAACACAAGCAAACCCAGAATTCATTTTATCATTGTTTGATTTAAGGTAATGTACACATATAACTTCCTTACATTCTGTTGTTATGGTTACGTTGTGTAGTAGGTTGGTGTACCAAACAAAAACCTGAGATCTTAGTAAAGGTTGCTGTTGATAGTGCCCAGTTGTTATATTGGATGCTGTAAGAGCAGTGACACACTGGTTTCTGGATCTAAAATGAGCAGTCTAGGTGGCCTTCAGCTTGGTTTTGCATTGTAATGAGAAGAGAAGCATAATGTAATGCCTCTGTAGGCTTCCCATTCATTGCTGAGATTACAGGCACATCCTTTATCCATCTGTTTATTTGAAGTACTTGCATGTTACCTTTCAGAGAAAAGCCACTCACTCCCAAGGCGGCTTACAAAAGATATTTCAGGACAATTTAGCGGTTTAGGATATTTTCTCTCCCCTGCCCCCATTAAATACCACTGAAAGGGGTGTCCTATCTCAGGATCAGAGGTTATCCTGGACCTTACTTTCACTCTAATGAAACTAAGATAGATAATGTGCCTAAACCCGCTTCCTCTGGGCTAGTCTAGTACAACTCTCATTACCCCAGACCATTAGCCATGTTGGGTAGGGTTGATAGAAGTTGGGAGTCCAACAACATCCTCAGGGCACCAGATTGGGGAATGTTAGCCTTGAAGCAGATTCTTATATTTGGCCTGTGATGTGGGAACTGCTGCAGTGCTTCTCCCACAGCACCAGGATGACTTTGTTTAATAAAGGGGTCGTTCAGACAACCTACAATTTGCTAGAATGTAAACCCATTGTTGTACCTACATTACTTTGAAGTTGGGGGAGGCCAGGATGCTCCCCGCTTCATGAGAATGACAAGGAATTCCAAAACATAGCCCCCAAAAGTCTTCCAGGTTTTACCAATTCTAGCCTGCTGCGGTTTCCCTTACTTTCCTAGTGTGTTGTGCTGCTCTTACTTACCTCCACCAACTGACCCATAGTACCACTAATCAGCATGGCAGTCGTCTAGAATGCCTGGGCCCAGCTGTGTTACCTGGCTTTGGGACCTTGGGAAGCCTGCCCCATTTCCTGGTCACCCTCCCTCACTGATGTTGTTAAAACATTCCTCCAAAGTAGTTTATTGTTGAATACTTTGTTCAAATTAGGCACCCCAGTTACATGATTGTGTCAAAAATGTGGGGGCCTTGAGTCAATTTATAATAAATGGTTTTATTTGAGTTTTTATTATAAAATTAGATAACAGTGCAAAATACACTGATACAATACGGGGCAGTCATATAATTCATCTCAACATCAGTTACATATTTTATTGGTATCACTCCATGTTGAACGTTCCGTTTGTGCAAGCATTGCAGCTTGCCGGAAAGAATAATTCCTTCTCTCTTCTCCTCCCCAGCGTGCTACTGTCGGGGTTCTTCTGACCCCCCCCCCCCAGCCAATTTCAAGGGGAGTAGGGGGTGGAGAGGAGGGGAAACCCATTGCACAAGGGGAAGTCCTTGTGCAGGACATTCACTAGCTGTGTTTGTTTTGTTAGGTGAATCATGGTACATAGTTTACCGCAGAAGTTCCCTCCAGTGTGGTGTAGTGGTTAAGAGCGGTAGTCACATAATCTGGGGAACCGGGTTCGCGTCTCCGCTCCACCACATGCAGCTGCTGGGTGACCTTGGGCTAGTCACACTTCTTTGAAGTCTCTCAGCCCCACTCACCTCAGAGTGTTTTGTTGTGGGGGAGGAAGGGAAAGGAGAATGTTAGCCGCTTTGAGACTCCTGAAGGGGAGTGAAAGGTGGGATATCAAATCCAAATCCATAATGTCAGGGCCAAAATAGAATTATTGACAAATGCACACTTATTCTGATGTCCGCAACGTAGAATATGGTTTACTTACAGTTGGAAAAACTGGGTCAGCTTCTCTTGCTTGATCTGCAAGAAGAGTTAGCTTCTAAATGGGAAACTTACCACTCAGTCTTGTAAACTATTTGTTTTTAAGGTGTTTTATATTTCATATATAGTTGCATTGACTCACATAACTGGAAAGTTGAAGGAAACAGTACTATTTAAACAACACGTAAAATTATAAAGATCCATTTGGAAGGTGTGTGTGTGTGTGCGCGCGCGCGTGCACACACACACACACACACACACACACACATTTTGTCTTATGAAGTATGACCAGGTTTGTGAGTTTCTGGGAGCTACATTTTTATAAAACTATACCTGTGGGTATAGAGGATAATCAAAGCTGCCTCCAGGTGCCTGCATTCTTGGGGCAGGAAAGATTACGGTCTGTCTTATCGTAGGATACCACTGTGGATTTCGCAGGCCAGGGAGCCTTGTTTCTTGTTCACATTGAGGGGACCCCAGGCTCTTCAAAATAACCTTTGAATTAAAAACAGACTTGGTGATTACTTAAGCTCAGTGGACATATCTCACTTTGCCTCTAAAGTTCTCTGAAGTTTATTCCTCATATTACTTTTAAAACTAGGATTTTCCAAGGAACAATTTACGGTTTCTTGGGAGCAGTTCCTCCTTCTGCCGCCACCACCACGTGTATCACTGTGTGGATATTTATTGCTGTTGTCACCATTTACTAACACAGTTTGTATAAAGTATTCTTTTTAAATGCTCTGCACAAAACCTCTTTCTTCACAGCAGCCACATGATCTTTGCAAACCTCCTATGGCTTTTCCAGGACTGTGGTTGTAATGTTTCTCTTGTAGGGTGACTCCTAACTGAACGATGCTATCTTTCTGTGAGTGTGTATGTGGGATTTGTCAAGGTCATTATTTTGCCTGCAGGCAAACAGGGAACCTCATGGAGAACCAGCTGGAGAGCAGAGTCCCAGACAGCAGCGGGTAAAATAGCATGAGCAAAAGCAGCATGAAGAGGGTGTGTGCACTCTTGGGAGAATGTTGTGCAAGCTGGGGGTGGGTAAGAGAAGGCTGGAGAGCTATTCATATGCCAGCATAATACTAATAGCCAAGCTCTACTGAAAATGCTTCGTAAAAATAGTGGTTTTGTGTCTGTATGGCCTTTGCAGAATTACTTGCTTGACAGACTTTTGATCACTTTGAGCATCATGCAGTATGTTTTTTTCCGTCGGGCACATATTAGCACTTTGAATTTGGCATTCCCCATTTTTCTCTATAATAGGAGATACTATAGTGGAGTAGAAAGGGCCTGCTGATGTGTCGGAAAATATCTATCCATCTCTCTGAATCATTATTACCTCGTTCTTCAGCCAAAAAAGCTCCCAGAGCAGCTTACAGATCAATAAAAAGCTAGACAGGCCTAGCCCTCAGGCTCACACTTTAAAAGGAATGACACAAAATGAAAAAGGGATGGGGCAGAAAGAGGAAAACAAGACAATGCAGGAACCAGTTCTTTGTTAGTTCTTTTTGTAAATAATAAAACTATTGTTACTCCCTGTGGAACACCCTCCCATCTGATGTCAAGGAGATAAAGAACTACACAACTTTTAGAAGACATCTGAAGGCAGCCCTGTATTGGGAAGTTGTTGTTGTTTGGCGTTTTATCGTGGTTTTCTTTGGGCTGGAAACTGCCCAGAGTGGCTGGGGAAACCCAGCCCGATGGGTAGAGTATTGATAATAATAAATAGATAGATAGATAGATAGATAGCTGGGATAGAAACAGTTCACATAGCCTGATGGAATGCAGAAATAAATCTTCATGACAATAGGGAAAAAGGGACATTTTTAAGCATCCCCCCACAAAAGCATACAAAACTAAATTAACTGGAATAAGCTTGGACCAAAGTAGAATATACAAGGAAAGAGAATGAATTGACTTAATAAAGGCATGGATCGATGCTGCAGTCTGCCTGCTCAATATATTTCTAAAAGCTGCTCATCACAGTAAATAATTTTGAAAAGGAACCCTACACAATACAGTTTTGAGGATACTGAGGATTTTGTGTTAAACATCACTAGCCCCTCACAGAGAACTATGCCTTTGCCATTGTTTCCTTTCCATGACCCTTCTCTTCACCACTAGCTTGGTATTGCATCCAGTCTCCAAAACAACCAGGTTAAAAAGTTGGAGCGAGGGAAGTGAGGAAGAGAACCCCAGAGGTTTTGTCCCTGTGTCGATATTGCATCTGCCTGGCTTCCCTGCCTCTATTCACTCCCTACCTCTCAGTAGTTTTCGTCACTACAGACAGCAAGTGCCCTTCTCCAGATCCCTGTGACACACCTGTATTTCACAGCAGCTAACCTATGATGCTGCTTTGGCGGCACAATCTTGGCTCCTTTTCCTGCTGCTGTAGGATTCATAAACCACAGCTTCCAAAGGTCACAGCCCTCTGCATGCTTCCTGAGCAGTAAACCTATTTAAATCAGTGACTTCCAGAGTAGACCTAATTTGAATTTGGCTACCGTAAATGGTTTGTGTTATATGTATGTCACATCTGCAGGGTGTGTGTGTGTGTGTGTGTGTGTGTGTGTGTGCAACCTTCATCCAGAGGATTTTGAGCTCTTGTTCCCCTCCTTTCCCCTGTGTCCCACTTTTTTTTTTAATGCACAAGCATTTAATTAACTGCCTCTGACCTTATTTTCAGCTTTGTTTCTTTTCCTACTGCCATGCTTTTTCCATGAATATTTTTTCCCCTGTGCTCTCTTGTTCATTTTCCCTCACTCATTATTCTGCAGAGACCTCACCAGTTCTTTTCAGATGACCGTGTGCCAGAGCGCACGCTTACCATTGAGCAGAGGGCAAGCCAGCTGGCTGCCCTCCTGGAGCAAAGGCCAGCAACCAGGCATCAGGTGACTGCCTTCCTGTCTGTCTGGCGCTTTGTGTCTGCTTGCCGTTCCATAGAATGGGAAATGAAAGGTTGCTTGGGCTGTAACATGGCTGGCATCAGATGTCCTGTTTTAATGGCTGATGAGTACACTATCACATTGTAGCAGAACATTTTCAAGCACTCTGGGTAAACAACAATATCCAAACTCATTATTCCGTCTTTCCTGTTAACTTACTGTTCCTGCTTGCTGAATCAACACTTAATCTTGCATAGATGCGTCTAGCACTAATAAAAAGTTGTGTGGCATATGTGGGGAAGAAGCTCCTAACTTAAAGGGGCTTTTTAGAGTTTGCACTTCCATAAGAGTAGGGTAGAATCTGTATTGAAAGACTCAGCTAGATTCAAGAAGTGTTGGTGGAGCATTGCTTAGCCAGTCTGGAGAGGAGGAGGGTCTGCGGTACGTAACTAGGTTTCGGAAGCAAGGTTCTATAAAATTAGCTTGCTAAAGAGTAACCCAAAACAAATGAAACCAGGAAGTTAACTAACCCCAGAACAGCCTTTATATATAAACCAAATGGGCTTTGAAAACTTGTTTATTTCTTTAAGCAATATACACATTCTTTCTATATGTGCTCTAATTTTTAAACATGTATGTCAGTGCCAATATTCAATCATATATCATCAGTTGCTGATCAGAATTTATTTTCTGACCCTGCATGGGCTGTTATAATGTATTTCATCTCGTTAAACTCTGGAAGGTCTAATATCAATTGCTTTTAGTCATTTTGCCAAACAAAATACTGATGGGGTAAAAGAGGCTATTGAATGCAAGCACATGCATTTTGACATGTGTCTTGCTTAACAGTCTTGCAGTCTCTCTTACCATGCAGAAATTTTAGAAAGTTGTTTCTTTTCAACCTTCTTAATAGGAATTTTTGGTATTGCTTCATGGTTGGAATAGAATTCCTCGTATTTTATTCAGGATACATCTAGCCCACAGTTCTTTATAAATCCACTCATTTCTAAAACTTGAAAGACAAGCATCAGGAAGGTCATTCACAGCTGAAATTAGTACATGGATTTGGTGTTCCACCATTCCCTCCCCCCCAAATATCAATGTTCTGAACTTTAGGTGGGGAGTTTAAAAGTAGTAGAGCATGCCCACAGTTTTCCTACGTCACTTGCAAGCTACAAGATCTCTGCTGCCTGTCTCACCCGCCCCTTCCCAAAAGCTCCTATTTTGAAATGCCGTCTTCTGACTTTCTCATCTTTATTTTGTAGCCAGAGATTGAGCGATCTCGTCGATCTGTTGTTGAGCAGTGGGAGCTCTCCCGCAACCTCCGCTCTTCCAGTCGCCCTTCTTCTCCCTCCTCTGACTCCCTCAGACAGGTAGCATGGTGTGGGGCTTGAGGCTGCACCCGGTTGCACATCTTTGGCCTATTCCATCTCCTGCCACTTGAGAATGCCGCACTGGATAAAGCTAGGCTAATAAGTTCTCTTTGCCTTGGGTGTGGCTGAGCTTAGCCTGTGTGCCTGCAGAAAGGCTTGGGATTTCTCTGTACCCTGGTTATTCCAAGGCTTGTGAATTTGGAAATGCTGCATATCCTTTACACCTCGGAGTTACTGATTGTCTGGTAGGAGAGAGAGCAATGGCTAGCAAATGTTTCACAAAGAATATTGTATGTCTCATCCAGAACTGGCTTGTTCTGCCTCCAGATAAGTAAAGGCATACCCTGGAATGCACTCACCCAGTTGGGAGATGTGTTGGGTCCGAATCACCAAGCCATAGTTTGATCATCAGAAGTCCTTTGTGGGCTGAAATGCTTCTTCCTCTGCTTTCTCCTGCATCTTCCTTGGGCTTCTTCACTTCACTTTCATTTCCTCCGTAGCTATATCTTGGTTTTATTATAATGTTTTGAACAGGTGCTGCCATAATCACTTCTCACTATAATTCGTTCTCAAGTTGGCAATTAAAGCCAAGTTCAAATTGTGGTTTGAGTCACTCAAATGAAAACAAAATTAGGCTAGCAGTAATTATGACCTGCTAGTTTAACCATGGCTTCCCAGTATATCTTTTGCTATGCGGGGAAGGGAAGTGGAATAATGCAGACTGCTACTGACCACCAAACCATGGTGATGTTGGAACTGCACCATTGTGTCAAACGGCCATTTCTGACTACTAAGGATCCCCCAATAAGGCTTCATTGTTGCCAAGAGTGGGATTCACTGTGTTGTCTGTCTCTTAACAGCTGTTTCTAGCACTGGATTTTCTGTGACCATTGAACATCTACATGATGAATAACTGCTTGTTTGCTGCTTCACTTTGAGGATGTGATTCAAACCACTATATTGCTTTGTGTGTCTTATAATATAACAGATTAGTTGTGGTTTGATT